TGCCCTCAAGTAGTTTCCCCCAGGGAACATTCGCTGTGTAGGAGGGAGCCCAGCCAGGCCCCCCCACCACATGCTCGGAGCCGGCACTCCAGCACCAGGCAGCCCTCTTGGGCTCTGCCTGCAGGGCAGGAGTCACATGCGTTCCCTGCCGCTCCAGCACCGGCCTGGCAGAGCTCCCTGGGTTCAAGGGCACAGGGGACCAGCCCTCTCCTTTCTCTGAGTCTTTTTCTTGCTCTCTGTAGAGGCTGTACCTTTGCCTCCCACCAGGCCCTTCTCAGTGGGTACAGGTAAAATGTGCTGGTGTTCGGGCCCACGCAGGCTGGCAGCGGGCAATCATGTTGATGAATCACGCTGGCACTGCGGGCGCCAGTCCTTGTTGAGGCGTCACTAATGAATTAGCTTCATTCCCAGCACGGGGCCTCTCAGCCTTTTCCCACTCCCCAGGAAGGCAGGAAACTGAGACCTGGGAAGGGGGGGCAGGAGAGGAGAGGGGGCTCCAACAGCTCTAGGAATGGCCCAGACTCCAGCCACCCCCCTGCCCATACACACACTGGAAAAATGCCCGAAAGTCATGTCCTCAGAAATGGCCTCTCCAGTCCTAATCATAAGCTAGAACTGCCCTGCCCACCTCCAAATCTGTATTTTTTTTTAAAAAGAAATTTTTGACATACAGAAAAGTACAAAGCTCTCTGGGATAAACACCCCTGTGCCAGTATCCAGCATTGACGATCGCACACATTTTGTCACATTTGCTTTAAATCCACTTTCTTTTACATAAAAAGAAAGAAAATGGCACGCGTAATATAGAAGTCTCCTTTGCCTTCCCTCCCGTGTCCCCACAGGTCCCCCACCCTCACCACACTGACCCTGCCAAGGCCTCTGGTTCCTACTCCCCTCTTTGGGGCCAGGACCACTGTGGCTGCTGAGACTTGAATAAGATCATAGAATATTAGCATCACAGGTCCTTAGAAAGCAAGGATTCAAGTCTATTAGAGCCAACCATGAAATGTCAGAGCAGAGAGGGTGCTTAGCTCCCCGGGGAGATCACAGGCTCTGCTAAATGTCTGCTCACCCAATGATGTACACAGTTCCCAGGGGTTCGTGGGCTCCTGGGGACCTAGTCCAAGTTCCTCATTTGGCAAAAAAAAAAAAAGAAAGTGACAACGTCCTTCATGCCATGGCCCACTCTTACCTGCACCCCCAGAACTCCAGTCCTGGCCTTCATTCTGGTATTCATTCAACAAACAGTATGTCCCTACTCATGTGCCCAGACTATGAATGTAAACATATTAACAGACCCAAAACCCCTGCGTTTGTGGGAGTTATAGTCCTGTGAGTGGAGATAATACCAGAAGGCATTTCGGTGTGTCAGGCAATGATCAGGCTGCAGGCAGCAAGGGAGCGTGGCAGAGAGAGGAAGTGTTGGGGGCAGAGCTACCGAGGGCCTGTGGCTGTCGTGAAGGCTTTCACTTTGACTTTCGGGGAGAGGTCGCTGGGGGACTTTGAGCAGAGGATTGAAATGATCTGACATACGTTTTAACAGGATCCCTTTGGCTGCGGCTGCAAGAAAGGTGGGTGTGTGTGTGTGTGTGTGTGTGTGCGCTGGGGGTAGGAGTTTGTGTAACTCACACCCCTCTCGTCCTGGGCCTGGGCCTCTTGAGCAATAATGACGCTTATCACGTCCTGACCACCTTCAGCTCGTCTAATTTACCTTTCAGCACAGCTTTGCCAAGCCGGTGCTGAACTCCCCTTGCTCTACAGATGACAAAACGGATTCAAAGAAGGTAAGTAGCTTGATGAAGGTCACAGGGCTGGTGAGGGCAAGGCCAGGATTCAAACCCAATCCATCTTATTGCAGAGCCTGGACGTCTACTACATCTTATTGTCTCTCTCAGCTGGGGGAGCTTAGAGAAACCACCCAGGATGCCCAGATGCTTGCCCCGATCCTGCAAACAGCAAGAAGATTTCCAGGACTGCCCTACTTGGAGATTTTGACCCTGCCCCAGGGCTCAGTGTGTTTGCCCAACT